AACAACAAGAGGAGAAATTATCAGAAAATAGGAAAAATAAGAAAAAAGCAGAAAAGAAAGAAAAGAAACCCTAATAATTCCTCCGATTATGCTTTTGTGGAAACCGCCCACAACACACAGGTGAAGCTATTCTCTATTTCACAGGAATGACGCAACTATTTAGTCCGCGTATATTCAGGAATATCACTACGAAGTTAGTCATAAGGGGTGTTATTAACAACTTCGTCCCTGTACGATATGTTGTATGTCCATTCCGCAGCGTAACTAAAGTGGCTCCATATAAAAAATACCTTCACTCATAAAGATAAAGGTGCCCTTTAAAGTTTATTCATATATTTCTGCAAATGTATGCAAATCCTATATGAATTTGAAGGACAGGCTCTTTACAGTTATCACAAGATTCCTCAAACGACTCCCTCGTTTCACTTACTGTACACCCGAATACGCCATTCTGCACAGGAAGATCATGACTCCCCAGGACACATATTATACAAAATCTTCAGAACGAATTAGTGAATAAAGGCTTGATAAAGAGCTTGGAAAATCGATGGAAGCAGTCTTAGGCTAAAATTCATCGAATTTTTAACTAGTGCTTCTTACATATTACCATTGATCGGATACATGAAATGAGAGAGGTTCTATGTTTCCCCAGAATTGCTCAAAATATACATTTTCATGAGACAGAATCAATGCAAAGGTGCTAATTCCTCATTCCACAGTCTATGGATTTATAGAAATTTTAAATGGAATTTTAATTCAGACAAGAATCATTATGAGGAATCGACTGATACCTGAAATCTCACCATGGTTTCATGCACCACAGGCTTCATTAATGATGTCCAAGTGGGGATATTACAATTTCAGCGCAACTTATATAAAGAAGTTACCTAATCACTCCGCATCCTCAATAACACTTTAGACTGGAATCTACCCTAATAAATAATGATAAATTTCCTAAAAGTTCTTTTAATCAGGGGTCACGTTTCTGCATATACAGTGTGATACGTTTAAAAACAAATTGTTATCTTCCATGAGCAAATCTTAGTTTACTTCATTCGTCACACAGTGTTCTTATGTAGACATCCCTAGATATATTACAGCGAATACACTAAAGCCACACTGCTGTGGGGTGTCCTCTTATTTTACTTCTCCATATACTTATGGCTATTCATACAATTCCTACAATTCTCCCCATAAAACTCGCCTTCTTTCATATTCACTGAAATTTCTGCAAACTGTTACACTTCCCCCTGGTATATACATACTTTCAACCTACTATAATTTAAGAAAACAAAGAAGGACACGTAAGGGTCAAATACATCTTCTTAGTGAATAGTTAAGATACAGGTATCCCTCATTCGGTCGATTTCCTTAAATACGATTCCCAGACAGCCCATATATTCGCAACATAACTATGGAGTCGGCTTCCCCTTCATTTATATCTTGTAATTGTACATAATTACTAAATAATGAGAAATTATTATTTCCTCTTATAAATACTGTTTCCCCATTAGTAACCTTCCTATGCGATTTATTGGCTTCTAGTAATATCTACATGTAAAAGTCATTGCAGAAAGCGATTGACTCCATCCTAATTTATTTTACCTCTTTATATTTCCCTCATTTCGAGTGCAACGGAGGCTTAACACGACTTGTGAAAACATCTTATTCTAAGACAGTTATTTGAGCAGATTGATACTCTTCCAAATTACACATCTTCGGTTCCACACTTTGCAAAGCAGGACATGATATTGGAATTCATTCTAATTACAATACATCAAGGGAGCTATAATTGACTGTATAACTCCATATAATTAAACTAAGTATCTGTCATTATCCCTCCGCAACTATCTTTCTCGTCTCGTGCATAGAACTCTCCTATATTATAATTTAGCAACTGTAATTGCATATCGCTTTGATCCTTTTTTATGTGTTTTTCCTGAATTTACATAACGCATATTTGAATATACTTCCTACACCGTCAGATGAAATAGAGTACCCAAATAATGTGGAATCCCTTCACATTCTTAGCATATATTCCTCTCAAAAGGAAGTTTTACAGATTCTTTGTGTTTTCATTCTTAGGACATAATTCTTGGATTAACACTCAAATATATGCAGAACATATTATTCATCTTTCGTAATGGTGGATAGAAAACAGAAAATGGGACCATATTATAAGTGTAACACTGATAACACTAATGTATACAAAAATCTAGGACGGCATTCTTAGATATTATACTTACAAATTGTGAACATGGACGTTTAGAAGTGTCCTCATTTATAGTTATACGGAGCCTTCTCTAAATCAGATGCATACTCATACAGTGTCTACGTCGAATTTCATGGTAATACATTATGAATAACTCATTTGACACAGTATCCTTGTTACAGTGAAATATATGCTTGAATCGTTATGAGAATTCCTCACTTTAGTGGATAATGATTTTTAGGTCACTATGGCTAATTGGAATATCCATTTTAACATGAACCTCAAGATCAACTCCGTAGGGTATCCATATCAGGCGTCCGATTCCTGTGCTCAGATAATGAAGCTCATACTCCTGTAAGAAACATTTCAATGGGGGAATCAATTTCCCCTTTAGGTCTGATGAAATTTTATTATAACATTATTGATGTAGACAAATTTTGAGACATTCATTATAAGTAAATGTAGATAAGTCTATTCATAATTACGTTACGACGCTGAAATAAAATATACCCATAGTTGTGTGCCTTGGTGCTTCTTTAGGTTATCAGAGCGTATTATAAGTTAATCATCCATTTGATACTTATCTATACAGAAGCCTTTTCCGTAAATGACACCCTTAGGGGGGGATAATTGCTTAATTAGAGAGTACTTATAGGAATTCATTGAATATTCCCTCCGCCCTCCATCCTTAACCATTATAGGAGATTGTTCATCTTAGTGTTAGTAAGATAACCCAAATAATCCGTGCGCTCCTTTGATCCACGGGGATAGCTCTCACTGAACAAGGGAAAGGATTACTTATTCCCTGACACATAATATCCCAGGCTCATAAGTCTTGTCTCCTTATATCATAAAGATGCCCCGTCACTTCTGTGGAATTATGCATAACTTGTTAATAGGCACAAATCAAAAGCTATAGAATAGGTTTAGGATAGGCATAGGAAACAGTTAGGAGAACACGTGTGGAAAACAATACCAAAGATTTAGACTCCTACCCTTAAGATAATTAGCTCTTCTACTTCCCCAGGAGTTTATAATAACTTATCGATAACTATATAAATGGGGGGTCCCCATCTGCTGCAAATCATAACTCTAGGATACCTATATACAGCATAATATCTAATGGTAATGA